CACACATCTGAAAATCTTCCCTTCCCTGTCCATTTCTCAGTTTCTTTCAGAGTTTCTTCTTGACTTAGGCCCCCAAGATATCTTTGAGTTCACCCTATCTAGCTATGTCTCAGAGGAATGGATGAGATTCCATTTATCATTGTCACTCCACTCCAGATATACAACTGGACTCCGAGGTTTTACGTATGCAACATAAGTGATTGTACTTACCAGCGCCTGCTTTTCCAGTAGAGGTGGGAACAGAATAATTCAATTGTATTCTTGTTAGAATAGAAAATGAAGGGAGATTCTGTCAGCAGAAGTTAACATACTAGGTACTTCATATTTCTAATTTTCAAATAAGACTAGAGCTACTAAAGCTACAACAGAAACAAGCTATTGTACTATTTTAGGAACGGGCGGGTTAGGAACCAGAAGACCCATGTCCAAATCCAGGCTCTTTCTCACTACTAGCTCTGGCCCTAACCTAATCCTCCCCAAGGTCACAATTAGAGAGCCAAACTCCTAATACGGACCACTTTTTGTTTGTTTTTCTTCCCTCCTCCTCAACTGTGCTTAGGGCTTACTCCTGATTCTGCTCAGGTATCACTCCTGGCAGCACTCATGTAGGTATTCAAAGCACCCAGGATCCAAACAGACTGCAAGGCAGGCTCTTTACCATCTGCACTTCTCTCTAGCTTTACTCCATGCCACTTTTTAAAAGAACACTGATGCCGGTGGTGAGTAGCATTGGCGTGAGCTTGAGTTCAGTCCTCTGGGACTTTGACGGCTTCTCTGTGGCCACAGGCATTGACTCTTATAGAGGAGGAGAGGATTAGCTTGACAAACCTTCAGGAGTCTGAGACCCATCGACATTTTGGGAAGTGAAGACCCAGAGAGCACTCGGTGGGATTCTGTCAGCTGATGACTGAAATTTAACGCAGGAAATTGGGGGAATGGATGGAGAGATGAAAGCCGAAGGATGTGGAGCAGCCAGGGGGATTGTCACAGGAAGGAGGTGCCCCTGGGACGGGGGCAGCAAGGAGAAGGGAATCTAGGAATTCCCAAAGAGATTCAGATCACTAAGGGTGCTTGCTGCCGACAGGAACAGCTTTCTCTGAGAAGAGGCTCAGGCTGGATGTGCAGGAAATAACAAAACAGGAAACAGGAAAAGAGGCTCAGAGCAGCTGACCAAACAACCGGAAACCAGAAGGTGCAAGGTCTTGCTCCCGCTGGCCTTTCCCGCTGGGTACCCCACAGACTCCAGCAAAGGCAGGTGCTGAGTGAAGGTGTCTGACCCAGCATCACAGGTGGGGCACAGATGAGACCCTAGCTTGCTGATGAAAGCCAAGAACACTTGAGCTGGTCACTGCCTTTTCTTCCCTGACACGTGGAGTTTGTGTGTGAAGGAACAGCAAGCCCCATGGATCAGAATGCAGCAACTCAAAGCTTGCTCTGCAAGGGAGAAGTGTGTCCACTCTGAGTCAGAGTGGGGGGCTGAAAATGCGTGGAGAGTGAACACATTTGGAGAAGACATTTCAAAGTGTGTTTGGGCTTGTAGAAGTCATCCTGATTACAGTAACGTGTGTGAGTCTTATTATACTCTGAGTTATAGAATATAGTCCTGTCTGCTGATACATCAAGGTCAGGTCAGCCTGGCTGCTTTCTTTTTATTTCTGCAAGCTCTGGTCTTACAGGCATACTCTTCACTGTTTTTTGCTCACGTGATGGAGCCTTACACAAAACTCACAAATCAGTGGCAGAAATATTGTCTGACAGGGCGCTGATAGAGGCCAGGAACTGGAAATCAGGGGGGATAGGAGAGGGAATGATCCCCAATGAGAGGTCCAGCCAGCTCTGCAATGTCAGCTTCATCACATCACCGACTATGGCCTGGGGGCATCAGAAATGATATTTCTTGCATAGTGCAAGATTTCCTTCGAATATTTATGGATGGTCTGTCCTCGACAGAAAAGCTCAGGAAGTCTGGCACTGTCCATCTCAGTCCTACCATTTTTCAAGGTGATCTTAAGTCAATAACTTTGGTTCCTTACATGAAGATGGGGAGGTTCAGTCACTGATTCAACAAACACTTGGTGGGCACCTCCTGTGTACTTGGCCTTGCTCTAGGGTTAGAGAGCAGCGGGTCTCACTGGGACTCAACGGGGTGGGGGAGAAGAAAGTCCTAACTGGATAAACAGTGAGGTGGTGTAAGGAATCGAACAGAACAAGATAGCTGGGTGGGAGATAATAAGAGGAATCCTTTTGACAACAGGACTGAGAAGTGCTAGGAATAGAACCCCCTTAGAAATAAGGAGGAACCGCAGGGACACCTGGGGAAGTGTCTTTCAAAAGGTGTGAACCAGGGTACAAGACTCCTTCTGCAGCTAGGGCTGGAGCCATAGCACAGAGGGTAGGGCGTTGCCTTGCACGGGACCAACCCGGGTTTGATTCCCAGAACCCCATATGGTCCCCCGAGCACCACCAGGGGTAATTCCTGAGTGAATGAGCCAGGAGTAACCCCTGTGCAATGCCGGGTGTGACCCAAAAAGAAAAAAAATAAAGAACAGTGGATAATAAAGTGTGGGCATGACAAGGGATGGGGTCAGGCCATAGGGAGGGGAGAAGGGACCAGATCCTGCAGAATCTGCTAGGCATGGGGATCCCTGGGAAGCAGTGTGCAGAAATCTTGACTGTTCTAGAAGAATCACCATTGGTGGTGTGGAGACCGGAGGCAGGCAGGGGGAAGCAGGAACCTGTCGCTGTAACCCAGTCAGGGCAATGAGAGTGGCCCAGAAATGGGCATTAGGGGTGGAGGCATTTGGGTGTGGTCGTTTCCAGGGTGCATCTCCAAAGGCAGGTCACCCAAATGGCTAGTGTCCATGGAGGGAGACCAAAGGGGGGGACGTCTCGGTCTGGCCCAAGCTTCAGGAAAAGTAGGGGTGACGTTATTGAAAAGAATAGTTGGTGGGAGGGGTTGAGAAATTGTGGGAATAAATCTGCCAGGATACAATAAATCCATATAAGACAGCAACCAAATTAGGTCCTTCATCCACAGTAGGCCTCAAGCCATCTGATCGCTTTTTCTGCCCTGCTCAGGGTTTGTCCTGAGAATGATTTTTGCACACCTAAGTCTTCTGCCCACACTCCCTACTCACCACCTTCTGTCCAACACCCTCCATACCCCCATACTCTCTTGTACATAAAAATGTGGTTAAGTCCAAATTATCTGACAATCGGTATGAGAAGGATACAATAGAGAAACCTAACCCAGAAAATCTCCCAACAGAATAAGTAGGGAATCAGAGCAGAGTGCATACAATAATTCTCAACCATAAAGTGCTCCAGAAACCTAAGATTTTCCCTAGGATTGGTTATTTCATCAGAGAAGGTCTGTAAAGAGTGAAATATAATATTTTGTAAGTGTTGTTTCCCTAGAATGCCTGAAGAAAGGATAAAGAATTCCCCCAAAATCAATAGAAATGCCTACTGCACTCATACTTCTTAACAAAATATACTATTTAATTTTCACCTAAAATTTTGAAGCATATGATTAAACAGAAATAAGTCATATAAAGTCCTGATTTTCTTGCATTTTACATAAGTACGTCAGCAGTGTTTTACCCAAAGTCACCCCACTCAAGAACCAGTATATAAATAGAAACATATACTCTCCATATTAAAAATATGCTTGGTTTTTTAAAATTCTTTATTGCAGATTCATTTAGAATGTCAGCATTCAGTCCACATATCTCTATACTCTTAAGAATCATCAGCCTTTAATTTATGAGTGTTTTTCATTGGGAAGATTCTGCTGCTTAAAATTCAACTTAATCCCCCTGGTCTGAGTGGAGGAATACTTACATCTTATGTTTTTCCCAGCATCTCCTTGATGCTTAATTTCCCACAATTAATCAAAAATCTTTCCTTTGAAGGAGAAAGCAGGTCCCACCCTCATCCCTAACTCAGCCCGGGGCTAATAACATAGAGAATCACAGAGCCCAGGACCAAAGACACAGAATTGCCAATGACACAGAGAATCAGAGAGCCCATGGCCAATGACACAGAGAATTACAGAGCCCAGGGCCAATGACACACAGAATTACAGAGCTCAGGGTCAATAATGCAGAGAATTAAAGAACCCAGGGTCAATGACACAGAGAATCACAGAACCCAAGGCCAATGATTCAGAGGATCACAGAGCCCAGGGCCAATGACACAGAGAATCACAGAACCCAGGGTCAATAATGCAGAGAATTACAGAGCCCAGGACCAATGACTCAGAGAATCACAGAGCCCAGGTCCAATGACACAGAGAATTACAGAGCCCAGGGCCAATGACACAGGGAATTACAGAGCCCAGGGCCAATGACACAGATAATTACAGAGCCCAGTGTGTGTGTGTGTGTGTGTGTGAGTGTGTGTGTGTGTGTTTATATAGCCAGCAAGCACTAAGAGCCAGCTTCCCTCGGAGAGTGTGTGTCTTTCCAAGATTCAACAGATTAATCAGCAGGAAAAGGATGATCCCACAGACCCACCCATCAGGGGGCACAGGAACCAACAAGGGCCTCTTTCTCGCTTGACTAGAGGGGCCCAAGCATGAACAACCAAGCTCTTGTAGATTCTCATGGCTTTGCCTACTAAATGAGGGGAGGCAGGTGTCATGCAAGCTCTTCAAGGTTGCAGTGAAAGCAGCATGTGCAGAAAAGACCCACATTTAGTATCAGTTCAGCCAGCTCATTCCAATGGCCAGAGAAGGCCCAAATTGAAGCCCAGATATTGCTCCTGTATTGCCAAGGTCATAAGTTCAAGAAAATCAGTGGTGTCCTCAGAGGACCCACTCATTGCCTGATCCCAAAGGCCTGTAGTAAAGGTCTACAGAGAGGCCACACCCAGCATCGAGGCAAGGATCTAGGTGGACATCCGTCATTCCCATGGCCACTTGCCAACAGGCTGAGCTCTGCTCTGTGCCTTTGACAGGAAAGGAAATTGGTTTTGACTGGTCTGTGTTTGCATTTTAGGTATAGTCGCTGTTCTCTTCTGTGGAGTCACGCAGGCTCATTACACCTACAACAATCTCTCGCTGGATTCCAAAATGAGGACTAAACAGGTAAAAGCATAACACCCCCCACCCTACCGCGCGGCTGGTCTCTCCACCCGGTGCGACAGTGGAGAAGCTATTCCGGTGGTGCTCGCGGGAAGAATTTCATTAGTGAAGGAAGAAAGTAAGCTCGAGGCTTCATTATGGGCTGGATATTTATAGATTTTTTTTCTTCCTCTAGGATAACCATTAACAATTCTCTTGGTAAGCAAAAATATGGTCATAATAGACTCTCCCTCCTGAGAAATGTGGAACGTAGACTGTCAGTCTGCAAGATGAAAGGGCCACAGTGGGTAATAATTCGCAGCCACTTACATCTAAAAGCATTATAAAGCCTGTGAGATTGGGTAGTTACTGAGAGGGAAGGAAATGAGGAAGAGAAAGGAAGCCAAGCTTGGGCCTTAATTGGGTGCTTTCACTCCCAAGGAAACTCAACTGCCAGTTGTCACCCATCTGCCCAGTAGGCAGCTGCTGGGCCTGGAGGGTTCCAGGGTATGCTGAGATTCCTGCCACCAACGTTGGCATCACACACTCCCGAGCCAGTGCTGTGCTGGATACCAGGGCATGAAGGAGATACGGGCTCCTTCCCAGCTCTGCATAGGCTCGTTATTGAACCTGACTGGAGCTGAGGATAAAGACGGGGAAGGAACAGTCCAGTGGCCCCATCAGTATCTCTGCCCAGGCCCAGGGCTCATTCTTGCAAAGCTGGGAATGGGAAGGGGGTAGAAAGTTTCTGAGTTTCTGGAAGATGAGTTCCTGCTGGAGGTGTGCGAGTCCTACCTGGTGGGGCTCTTTGAGGACACCAACCTCTGCTCATTCCCCACCAAGCGCATCACAATTATGCCAAGGACACCCAGCTGGCGTGCCACATCCAGAGAGAGAGAGAGAGAGAGAGAGAGAGAGAGAGAGAGAATAAAGTTTATGATGCTAAAATCTCAGGGCTGGGACAAATTGAGACACTACTGGCGCCCGCTAGAGTAATTGATGATTAACGGGATGACAGTGACAGTGACAGTGAGCTCCTGCCTGGCACACTAAGGTAGATGCTAACTGGGCAAAGATATGTGATCAGGCGGGAAAGAAAGGTGACAGGAAGGGCTCCCCCAGAGCTGGGTCAGACCCTGTGCTGTCAGGAACGGGCTGGCTGAGTGAGTGGGGCTGATGCCTGAGCTGCTCAGAGAGATCTGTCACGGTCAGCGTCCTCTGCGGAATGGATCATGCCAGTCTCAGAGGCTACACACTGGGCATCTGGTGACCCAAAGTTGGTTCTCACTGGTCGCTGGAGGGAGAAGCCAGTCTTCTCTCTCAGCCCTGGGCCTCTCTGACAGTACTTATCTTCTTGGCTTGTGGCTGACCTCCTCCTGGCCTTTGACTTCTCACCCACTGGTGTGCGTGTCCATCTCTCCCTTTCTCCCTGGCACTGGACACTGGGCATGTTAGATCTGGGTCTGGCTACCCCACAGGTTCTCTTTTGTTTATTACTAGGCATCTGGGCCTCCTTCAGGGAAGGGATGTGGTCCTGCCCGTCTGGAACCTCTTCACTCCTCACCCACTCCTCACATTTTCATTCAACCACTCTTGTTTTCAATGACTCGATTTTCAAGTACAGTCACATCCAGGGGTACTAAAGATGAAGACTTCAACATATAAATGGTGGGGGAGGGGCAAATAGGAAGTCATTACAGTGACTTCGATAAAGTTCCAATAGGTTCATCAGAATCCTGCTCTGGGAGACAAAGGGGTAGGGACCAGAAGTCACTTGTATCAGTGAGTGTGTGCTGTAGATGAAAGAGGCATGCAAAACCCATGGTGTCCAGCCAGCAACAGTCACTGAACTCACGTTTCTGCCTGGTTCTGTTCCTCTGAGCTGTGTTGGGCTGCATGGTTCCCACTGGTCTCTGCCACTCTGGTTCCTCTGTGTCAACCTCTCTGAGGGGTTGGCTAGAGAGTTGTGTGTCTGCCACCTTCTCTTGGCAGAATGGTAACCCCACCAGTCAAGCCCATTTCAAACCTAAGCTAATTTTCTAAAATTTCCTCCCAGACACTGAAAGTCACGAGCCTGAACCCAAGGCCAGGATACTAGAAGGTTGCCTGGTGAGAGAAGCTGTCAGGGTTTTGGGGCACAGCGTGATGGAGTCAGATGGCTACAGGGTCCCCCCCAAGGAAGATGGAGGCGGAGCCAGTCTCACTGGGGAGACCAACACAATCTCAGGGGAGTTCCAGTAGAAAAAGCCGAACTAGTAAAGTAGAGCCGGCCACTGAGTTCGTCAGCTGGAGGCTTGGAAGATTCCCCTGAACAGGGCTGAGGATGTGTCCCAGTGCTAGAGCATCTGCCTTGCATATGTGAGACCCTGAAAACCATCCTAGCAACACACACACACACACACACACACACACACACACACACTCCGCCATCTCTTCCTTCCTCTGTCCAGGCTCAGCTGGGTCTGTCCCTGTCTGCCAACCCTTCAGGGATTCTGTGTGGTCCCCTCCCCATGTGCTCGACAAAGGAAACACAAGAGCCATTTGTAGAAATTGCAGGAACCCCTGTTTAGAGCAATGAGCAAAGAACTCAGACCCCAAATGCCTAGGAAACATTACACACTCTTCAAGGACTCTTTGAATTCGGGGGCCTGGTGGTCTTCTCTGGGGTGCAGAAGAAACATCTAGGGCCCTTTTCCTTGACCTTGGCTGCTTGGAAACATTGGCATTCTGGGAGTCCGGCTCTGCTTAGGGACTTGCACTTTCAAGTCTTGCATCTCCAGGGCTTGGCAGAACTTCAAAGATAACTCACCTCCCAGGAAGACGGCAGCCCTGCTCCTAGGGAAGACAGAACCCAAACCCAGGCCCGCAACAGCCTCTGTTCTCCCTCCCGTAGCTTGACAAGTGCCCCCGCGGACCCCTAACTGTCCTCTAACGGATGTGGCTTCACAATCTCCCGTGTCCCCACCCAGGCAACCTAGACATTTTGTCTTTGTTCCCACCCTGCCTTCCTTCCTGGGGGCGTGTTCCTGGTGGAGAGGCTGTTTGGGAGTTGGGGGAGCCGCACCCAGCCATGGTCTGTGCTCAGGGACCCCTCCTAGAAGGGCTCAGGAAACTGTGTAATGCTGGGATGGCATGCAGGGTGGCCTGACCCCAGGGGACTATCTCTTCAGTCCTACCTCTCTTCATTTCTTTGCTTTCTTTTTAAAAATAAGTAAATCAGGGGCTGGAGTGATAGCGCAGCAGGAAGGGCATTTGCCTCGCACATGGACAACCCAGGTTCGATTCCCAGCATCCCATATGGTCCCCTGAGCACCGCCAGAAGTGATTCCTGAGTGCATGAGCCAGGAGGAACCCCTGTGAATTGCTAGGTATGACCCCAAAAGGAAAATAAAATAAAATAATAAAAGTAAGTAAACCAATAAGTTCGCCGGAAAGCGTTTCCTTTGGGGGAGGAGGGTCACACTGTTATGTTCTGGGCTCACTCCTGGTGGTGTTCTGAGATGCGATGCCAGAGATGGAACCCAAGTCAGCCAATCCTAGGCAAGACCCTTCCCCACGACACTGTCTCTCCAGCCCCTCTTCACATCTTCTCTCTCAGTTGACATCCGTCAACTCTCTACTGCGGCACTCCTCACAGGCTGTGCATGCCGAGTGTGTGTACATATTTACAGAGCACACCTGCCAGTGTGGGCACATGCCATCCAGCTCTTCAGTCACCTTCACAGATCACAGACTTTGGCTCTGCCTGCTGCCGTGTAGCGAGGAGCATCCACACTCCGTGGGGGCCGGGGAGCTGGCTTAAGGAAGTGCATGCTTTGCGTGCAGGAGCCCGTGTTCGATCCCCAGCTCTGTGCCCCGGGTAGGGAAGCAGCTTCTGCAGAGCAGACGCAGAGGGGCCAGGTGTCACCAAGCTGCTGGCTCTGCTCAGAAATGGGGTAGGTTTGGAGCCATGGGTATGACGCAGGCACCGAGCACGTGCTTCCTCCCCCAACCACATCCCCCATCTTCTTCTCACTGTCACCTGGAAAGGAACATCAACTGCCACCTGCTCTGCTCCCCCCCCCAACTACTTACCAGAAGCCAAGGAAGGTGGTCTGTGAGATCTGGAAATCTGGGGCGGGGCGGGGTGGGCAGGAGTCCTTAGAAACCAGTGCTGGATTGGAACAGGCAAAGTTGACAGTTACTTATGGACGCTTGAATCCTAGCATGTGCCTCTACCGGCTACTATACTGTATACTGGGAATCAGGTGCAAAGACTCTGAGACCCATATTGCCTTTAGAACTTCAAGAATCAGACCAGTAGCTTTTCTGCTTTAGAATATAGTTTGTAGCCGCTGATAAGCACGGAGATGGGCCTGGTTTGCTTTCTGCCTCCCACCCATAAGAGGCCAGGTTATCGCCCATGCACTCAGCCCCGTGGTGACTCCGCTGCCGAGCCCATCTCAGGAGAAACTTGGCAAACAGCTGGGCACTCTACTCCCAAGACCCTGGCACACCCACCCAGCCCTGGTCCTGGACTCAAGCGCCTGTTTGCTTCCGCACGTACAGAGCCCAGCCCTGCCTCTGGTCCTGGAAATAGGCTCCCTGCTAGGAGACTCCAGGTGAAGCACAGCTCAGAGCAGCTTGGGAGGCTGAATGCTTGTTGCCTGTGGATCTGGTACCCCACACACACCCCACCTGCCTCCCCACCCCCTCCCCGGGCCCTCCACCCAAGGCAGGCCAGACTCCAGTCTGTTTCCATCAGCTATCTTTGTCTTGCCTGAGGCTGAGCTTGTAAAACCTTGTGCTTTTGTTCCATCTCTGTGAACAAAAAATTCTCCTTCCCTACCCTCAGTTCCCACCCCAAAACTAATCCCAAAAGATATCCATGGGCAAATGATTTTAATCAAAATGATTCCTATTTCTTATGCATCACCACGTATGGGGTACTGGTGACATTTTCTTTGTCCTGGCCTTTTCCGGGTAGTCTTTCTTAGAATCACAAATCTCTATTCACTCATTCAGAGAAGAGTTTTTAGGAATCA